AGGAGGAACTCAGCCCCACCCTGTGGAGCCTAAGCCTGAATGCTGAGTGCAGAGGGACTAAATTAATAACTGAAGGAGAAAGCCACAGACAGCAGATTCCTGGAAGTCTCGAATAAACTGCCTAAGGTCAGGCAGGGTCCACATCTGACATCAGCAGAGGCAGACCCAGAAAGAAAAAACAGCCGAAAATACAAGAGTCTACTGAGATAAAATCCACCATGGTCTTCTCCATGATTAGTGATATTTTCTTTACTATGTAACTTTTTAATGTTCATTTCAGGTCCATCAACTGAAAGTTAGTGGGATTTCAGTGGGAAGTGATTGTTGCGGATCTGGGTGTGTTTCCTGGTTTTGCTCTGGAAGCAACTGCACAAAAACACACAAGATATGGTGGGCAGAATGACCCTCAGTCAACGAGCTGGACGGTAGGACCCACCAAAGAATGACAAAACAACAATCAAAACCCAATAACTTCAAGAGAGTCAATATAAATGGCATAAAAGGCACCCAAAGAGTAGCAAGTTCAGGAGCTCAAGGAGACTGCACCACTGAATCTCACAGGTCGCCTACCATACACGTCCACACCACAAAGTCAGGAAGTCAAAACAGATCAATTTAAGAAACAGAAGCAAAAAACAAGAGTCTCTCAAATAACGGGAAGACAAAGAAACACTTGCCCTCACCCCCACAATCAAAGGGAAAGGAGAAATCGCCAGAATGAGAACGAAATGAAATAGAGGCAAGAAAACTATTAGATATTGAGTTCAAAACAATGATTCTAAGGAAGTTCAATGAGCTCTGTGACCTCAGACAGAATGACCAAAAACTACAGGGAAACTATGAGGAACTTCCTTCAAACTATACCAGCATGAAAAAGGACATAGAAACTATCAATAAGAGGCAAGAGGAAATGAAGAATACAATTTCTGAAGTGAAGAACATAGTAGAAGGAATCCAAAGCAGGCTAGATAAGGCATAGGATAGAATCAGCAAGCTGGAGGATAAGGTAGAAAAAAGCTCCCAGAAAGAGGAAGAAAACAAAAAAAGACTCAAAAAGAATGAAGAAGCGTTTAGGGAAATTCAGGACATCCTGAAACATAATAATAGTCATATAACAGGGATACCAGAAGGAGAAGAGGAGCAAGAGATAGAGATCCTGTTTAAAACAGTAATGATGGAAAACTTCCCTAATATGGAGGAGAGAGAAAGTCACATGAGTCCAGGAAGCACAGAGGGTCCCATTCAAGAGGAGCCCAATGAGGCCCACTACAAAACACATCATCATTAAAATGGCAAATATCAAAGACAAAGAGAGAATCTTAAGGGCAGCAAAGGAGAAACAAGTAGTAACATATAAGGGGGCCTTGATATGGCTAGCAGCTGACTTCTCAACTGAAACACTACAAGCCAGAAGGGGATGGCAAGAAACATTCCAAGTAATGGAAATCAAAGGCCTGCAACCAAGACTGCTCTACCCAGCAAGGTTCTCCATTAAAATGAAAGGTGCAATAAGGAGCTTCCCAGACAAAAGAAGACTAAAAGAATACATCTCCACCAAACCAGCACTGCAGGATATGCTAAAGGGACTGCTTAAAGACGATGAAGAAAAAAGAGTAACAAAGAGAGGAACACAGGTAGTAAGTACCTATCAATAATAACTTTAAATGTAAGTGTATTAAATGCTCCAGTCCAAAGACATAGGGTAGTTGAATGGATAAGAAAACATGACGGCACATATGCTGCCTACAAGAGACACACCTCAGAACAAAGGACCTACACAGCTGAAAGTAAGGAATGGAAAAAAATATTCCATGCAATTGGACAGGGAAAAAAAAGCCCGGGAAGGAAAACTTATATCAGAAAAAATAGATTTCAAAACAAAGGACATCAAAAGAGCCCCAGAAGGACACTTCATACTACTCAAAGGAAAAATCCATCAAGACATAAACTTTGTAAACCTATATGCACCCAACATAGGAGCACCCATATATATAAGGAAAATCTTCGAGGACTTCAAGAGAGATATAGACAGCAACACACTGATAGTAGGTGATTTTAACACCCCACCGTCAACAATGGATAGGTCTTCCAAAGAAAACATCTACAACGATGTTGTAGAACTAAACGACACATTAGATCAAATGGACGTAACTGACATATGTAGAACCTTTTATCCCAAAGAGGGAAAATACACATTCTTTTCAAATGCACATGGGACATTTTCAAAGATACACCACATGATAGGACACAAAGCAAACCTCAACACATTCAAGAAAATCGAAATCATAACAAGCATTTTCTCAGACCACAAGGGCTTGAAACTAGAAACCAACCTCAAGGAAAAAACTCAAAAACATTGATACTCACGGAGACTGAACAGCATGCTATTAAACAATTGAATGGGCCAATCCTGAGATCAAAGAAGAAATTGAAAAGTGTCTGGAAACAATTGAAAATAAACACAGAGCAGTCCAAAACCTGTGGGACACAGAGAAGGCAATCGAGAGAGGGAAGTTCATAGCAGTACAGGCCTATCTATAAAAGATAGGGATTTTCAAGTAAATGACCTAACCCTACAGCCTCAAGAAAAAAAGCCCAGAGTGTGTAGAAGGAAGGAAATAATCAAGATGAGAACAGAATTGAATGACATGGAGACTAAAAGAACAATTCAAAGGATCAACAAATCCAGGAGCTGGTTCTTTGAAAAGATAAACAAAATGGATGAGCCTTTAAGCAGACTCATCAAGAAAAAAAGGGAGAGGACCCAAATAAATAATATCAGAAATGAAAGATGAGAAGTAACAACTGATACCACAGAAATACAAAAGATTGTAAGAAATTACTATGAACAATTATATGCCAAGAAATTTGAAAACCTGGGTAAAATGGACACATTTCTAGAAAAATATAACCTTCCAATGCTGAATGAAGAAGAAGCAGAAAGCCTGAACAGATCAATAACAGCTGGCAAAATTGAAGTAGTAATCAGAATACTCTTGGCATACAAAAGCCCTGGACGGGATGGTTTCACAGGAGAATTTTACAAAACATTTAAGGAAGAGCGAACCTCTGTCCTTCTCAGACTATTCCAAAAAGTCCAAGAAGATGGAAGACTCTCAGACTCTTTTTATGAGGCCACCATCAGCCTAATCCCAAAACCAGATGAAGACACAACAAAGAAAGAAAACTACAGGCCAATATTGCTGATGAACACGGATGCTAAAATCCTCAACAAAATATTGGCAAACCGCATCCAGCAATACATTAAAAAGGTCATCCATTATGATCATGTGGGGTTCATCCCAGGGGTGCAAGGATAGTTCAATATTCTCATATCAATAAATGTAATATATCACATAAACACAAGGAAAGACAAAAATCACATGATCATATGAATAGATGTGGAAAAGCATTTCATAAGGTACAGCATCCATCTATGATAAAAGTGCTCAGCAAAGTGGGAATAAAGAGGGCATACCTCAACATAATAAAGGCCATATGTGAAAAACCTACAGCCAACCTCATACTCAACAGGCAAAAACTAAAACTTTCCCAATAAGATCAGGAACAAGACCAGGTTGTCCACTTCCACCACTTTTATTCAACATAGTGTTGGAAGTCCTAGCCACAGCGATCAGACAAGAAAACAAAATAAAAGCCATCCAAACTGGAAAGGAGGAAGTAAAACTGTCATTATTTGCAGATGGCATGACAGTATACATAGAAAACCCCATAGACTCCGCTTAAAAATGACTCAACCTAAAAAGTGAATTTGGCAAAACAGTGGGATACAAAGTCAATATTCGGAAAATCGAAGGCATTTTTGTATACCAGCAATAAAATACTGCAATCAGAAATCAGGGAAAAAATCCCATTTGCTATAGCAACAAGAAAAATAAAGTACCTAGGGATAAACTTAACCAAGGAGGTAAAAGACCTGTACCCAGAAAACTACACAGCACTGAAGAAATAAACTAAGGAAGATGCACAGAAGTGGAAACATATACTGTGTTCGTGGATTGGAAGGATTAACATCATCAAAATGTCCATACCACCCAAAGCAATTTATAGATTCAACACAATCCCTCCTAAAATACCAATCATGTAATTTCACAGATATAGAACAAACATTTCAAAAGTTTACATGGAACCATAAATGACCCTGAATAGCTGCAGCAATTTTGAGAAAGAAGAACAAGGTAGGAGGTATCACAATACCTGACATCAAACTATATTACAAGGCCAATGCAATCAAAACAGTCTGGTACTGGCATAAGAGCAGACACATAGATCAACGGAACAGAATAGAGAGCCCAGAAATAAACTCATGTCTCTATGGCCAAATAATATTCTACAGAGGGGGCAGAAGCATGAAGTGGAATAAAAATAGCCTTTTTGACAAATGGTGTTGGGAGAGCTGGACAACTACATGCAAAAAAATTGAAATTTGACAAAAAATTCAACTAAAACAAAGAGATCTCCTTGCAGTGCTTTACCTATATCCTGGAGTCTGAGGGACTGGGGAATGGGAACCTCATTCAGCTGAAGACAAGGAGTTGTGGCTAGCTAGATGTTCTGACAGCAAGAGATGTCAGGTTGATTTGATATAACTTCCAGAGTTTGCTGGAGGAAAGGGATAAGGGAGTTTCCTGTGACCCTAATAGGGGCCCTGTGTCATCTTAGTGTCTAATTTCCCACAGGATTTCAGAGCGAGAACAGCAAAGCAATTCATTTTAAGAACACTCTGCCTGTGAGAACACTGGTCTGTCTTTAGACAATTTACCAAGCCTCTTTTGGCGACCCATCTTCTGTATTTTTTGTTTTTTGTCTTCTCTTTATCAAATCTACGAGAAAAAAAACTACATTCAGATGTAATAACTATCACACAAAGCTCTCACTTCAAGGAGACGTAGCCTACGGCCAATAGGCGAACAGACTAAGTGTGAACTGCTGGGCACCCGTAGGTAGGATTCTCCGGATCAGACGCCGGAAGTGGCCGCCCAGGCGATTTTATTTCAGGGAGGTGGCAACCTCCCGGCTCCCCGGCAGTAGCCAGTAAACTATTGGAAATCTGAGAACATGGAGGCAGCGCGCCCCCCGGCGACGGCAGGGAAGTTCGTGGTGGTCGGCGGTGGCATCGCGGGTGTCACTTGTGTAGAGCAGGTAGGGGTGAGCGTGCGGCAGGCTTCGCTTCTTCCTCTACCCTGCAGGCGGAGGCGGAGGCGGAGGCGCTGGAGAGTCCCTCCCGCTCCCTCCCCTCCTTCTTAGAGGGTCCTCTTTAGACGCTTGTTTTTTTCCGCTTTCTTTATTGCTCCCAAACATTAGAGACTACGTGGCGGCCCTTGATGCTGTCAGTATCTCGCAGTCTTTGCGCCCTGAGGCACAAAGGAGGGGGCAAAACGAGGGGCGGGAGCATTGCTAGGGCCTGGTCCTAGTAACGTCAGAATAGACAGGAGGGCTTGTGACTGGTAAGTACTTGGTCAGAAAATTCAGCCACTTTTGTAATTAAATGATTGAACTCATCTTCTATATAGGTGCCAAGTCCTTGGTGCATTGTAACCCTTAATGACTTTCCTGTACTTTGAACTACCAAGATAGACGCTATTTCATCGCTAGTACTGTTTCATGAAACAACCAGCAAGGTATAGAATGTAGCTAGGAAATGCTTTTCTCCTTATAGTGAATAATCAGACCACATATACATATATTTATATTCCATAAAGGACTAAGTTATTCTTATATAAAGTAAACATAAGCAATCACTGAAGTCATCAGAAATGCAAGAAACTCAAGAATTTTTAAACTTTTTTAATCCTAATATATATTTTTCATTTATTCACCAAGTAAACACCTGTGACCCAGGCAGTGTACTTAGGGCTGATTAGTCAAATATAACAGCATGGTCCCTTCGTTTTAGGGACTCACAGCCTAGTGGAAGACACATGTAAATAAATCTTTTCACTAGTGTGTTTACTGTCTTAGGGATGCCTGCCGAGTTGGAAGGACGTGCATTAGGGAAAAGATATCCGACAGAGATCTATTTTGTCTCAGTGTAGAACAATGAGTAAAAGTTTACCACTTAAGACAAGAAAAGACAAACATTCTAAAGGCAAGTGAGGTACCTACCGTCTCAGGTCGAGAAACATGGCATCATGTAGGAGCAGCAAAGCTTATGGTGCTTGGGGGAGGTGCCCCCCAAGTTTAGCTTAGCACAGCTTAGCTTAGCTTAGCTTAGCTTAGCAAAGCTTAGCACATGGTGCTTGGGGGAGGTGCCCAGAGAGGAAGCCTGGAAGGTTGGCAGAGACCAGCTCATAAATGATCTTGTAAGTCATGTGAAGAATTTACCAGGAACTTAAAAAATAGTTACATGATTTTGAGCAATGGAGTAATGCGATCAAATGAAAAAGTTTGAAAGATGATTAGTTACAATATGTGGGACAGAGGCAGCTGGTTAATGTGAGACTGGAAGGACAATTTAAATGTGATTTTAGTAGTGTAAAGAAGTTTTGAGGGCCTGGTCTAGCAACAGAAACAGAAAGCAGAAGGGGAAATTACAGAATATACAAAAGAAAGGAAGATGGGAAGAATAAGGATAATGTCAAGTACTGTAGAAAGTTTAAATAAGATGGTACTAAAAAGAGTCTGGGTTTTAAGGATGTGTAGTTGAATTGAACATGCTCCATTTTAATAGGAGAGTAGGGACAGAAATAGAGATTGGTGGAGTTGAGGAACTGGAGCATGAGTTAGGCAAATGTTTTCGAGAACTGTAAAGTGAGAAGGAGAGAGGTTTGTAGATAGAAGAAAATGATCAAACAATAGCACGTTAAACTACCAGATTTTGTTAAGGCTAATATTAGAATGGCTTGGTCTTCCCAGAGAATATCTACTGGTTGGGCAAGGAAGAGGCAGGATAGGAGTGCCAAAGCACTTGGGAAAAGTGCTAAGACTCTAAATGCTTACTGTGAGGGTTTGCTGTAATTTCATTGTACTGAAGGCAAATGAAAATATTTTACAATTAAGAAAAGCGGCTTAACTGTTAATTAGGAAGATTGTTTCTCCTTACCCTCTGCATGTTAACTTTAAATTGGCATATAAAGTAGTTTAAGGAGATAAGGAATACCTCTTTATGTCACTTTTCTTGTTCAGATCTTTGTTAGTGTTTAGTGTGAATGTAGTGTTCATTTTAAACAATACCAGAGTTGGACGCTACTCATCACTACCCCCTAAATATGAGCAAGACTCAGGATAATAGAAACCTGTAGATGAGGAATGGTGACTCTTTAGTTTCCTAAGTTAATAACTTTATTAAAATTGCATTATCCCTATCTCAGCCTCTGTGCCGTATATACTATTACCTAAAGTTATTTATCATATTTTTTTCTTACTTTTAAAAATAAGTTGGCGATTCAGTTTCCATCAGAAGAGATTCTCCTGGTAACAGCTTCACCTCTTATTAAAGCAGTCACAAATTTCAAGCAGGTAAGAACTTTTGTATAACCTTCTTAGTACTTTTAAAAATTGAAATAACTTGCATGGCAGGTAGTGTAACTGCACTATTTTAATTGTTTTAAATGACAAATGTTCTGTTGATACTCTTTTAAAAGTTATTGCTCAAAGTTTAGAATTATTCAGATTGAATACCAAAAGCACCCAGAATGATTTTGCATTCCTAGTCTTCTATTTTTTTTTCTTCCCACTCTGAATTCTTTTCAGAAAATATTTTAAAATAAGGTTCTTTTGGGAAACATGCTATGAAATCTAAATATGAATGTAAATATATATGTGTATACTTTTATTATAAATGTGTATTTCAAGCCAGAAGTGCTTCTGAGCCAAGCTTACACTTGTAGATGATTAGTGTTTCAGATGTGTAATAAGCACTTCAGAACACATTGTAGGTTTCATGAATTTATATTACATATTACAGCATTATAGTAGGAGTCTAAGATGATTTTGTTCATAGTATAATAGAAGACTGGTCTCCAAACGTTTTTGATCCTGTACCTCACCTGTTAAAAAATTTCGAGTTCATATTCTAATATATGTATATATACAAGTATATTTATACATATATGAGTAAAAGGATGGACTAAATTGGGGCAACGTTAGAATGGTGAAAGTTTGAAGATGTCACTGAGGGATTTAATAACTTACTAAGATGTTATTTGCTCTTCTCACTCTATTGTCATTTGCGTTGATGTTAGAAAAACAGTGGTGGCTAAACTGTACTAGCAGTCATTGTATTCCACACAGTCAGTTAAAATATAGAAAAATAACAATAAAAAGATAATTTTATTAAAACTTGACTCTTAAGGACACATCTTGTTACTGTTCTGTATGATGAACTAAGATATGTGCATAAAGCACTCTGCGCACAGGAGTACAGTGTTACTTAAGGAAAAGCAGTTGTGCAGATGCTGATTTGCAAGATGAACTAGCTACTTACTATCATGGAACCATCAACTTGAAATAACAATTGACAAATTGTGGTCATTTATATACGGAAAATGAATGAAGTGCACCTGTCACTTCAAGGAAAACAACTGACAGTATTTGCTGGCATTGTGACAGAATTAGAGCTTTCAGGCAAAAATTGGAAATTTGGAAAATTCATTATTCAGTGTCCTCACAGTACCTAAAGGCATTTCTGATGAGATTGTTGGTGATAGTAATAAATGTGATATTTTGTATTGTATTACTATGAAATGTGTCGATAATTGGAAGATCTCCATAACATATTGAACCAATATTATCCACATGACAGTGTATGATATTACAAGATCCATTAAACTGTAGGATATACCAATGGATTTCACAATAACAGAGAATGAAAAATTTTTTCATATGGCTTCAAATTCTACATTGCATGTAAACTTAAGAAACTGTTACTTGTTGAGTTTTATTATCTGAAAGGGCTGCATATTTGTGTGAGGCCAGACAACATATTTTAACAGTTTGAATGCAGAAGTAGATATGCAGCTATCAATTCTGTTAAGCAAGACATTAAAGAAATTTACAAAAATGTAAACAGTGCCATCCTTCTCAGTTAATTTGTTTTGTTTTAGAAAAAAGTAGTTATTTTTCATTGAGTATATTATAATCTGTTTAACATGTATTGGATTTATTGTTGTTACTTTTGAGTGAATTGAATAATACTTAAACTTTTTCTCAGCTTTAATTTCGAATGCAGCAAATATTGCTAGGTATAAGTCAAACAAACAAAAGCCAGTTAGGGTACTCAATCATTTGTAAGAGTGTAAAGAGGTTATGAGACTAAGAAGTTTGAGAATTGTTAGGGCTATGTAGTAGGATTTCCATGCAGTGTACAAGGAGCAACTGAGGTCATATACAGCTGTGTGGTTCTTCTATAGGAGATTGGGTATAGAACTAGAGAAAGAAGGTAGTCTGATCTATGTTTGGGAGTTTTTAGGATAATTAATAAAGATAAGAGAGGAAGGAAATAAAGGGTTTGGGCAAAAGATGGAATGATCCACAGTAGAGTCTTAGCCAGATAGGAGGGAAAGTGAGTCCAAGAGGATGGCAGTGATTTTGGAAAATAGGAAAGAAGAGTCCAAAGACTAGATCACAATAAGGTTAGCTGAAATAAGTGAATAAGTGAAAAGAGAAAACTACAAGAATAAGGAAATAAATAAGCTGTTAGATAAACTACACAGAAGTAAGTAGGGTTAGCCTTCATGTTACAGGTGAGTAGCCCTCATTTTACAGGCCAGGAAACGAAGGCTTGGTGACCTGCCTGACTTGCCCAACAGTGGTAGTAGTAGCACTGGTATTTGAGTTTAAGTCTTAAAATGTGGAATCAAGCCCTCTTTCCACTGAGTGTCATGCAGTTGGCCAACTTTGTTTTATGAACATGAAATAAATAATGTATAAGAAGAAATGAATTATTTTTTAGTTAAAAATGAAAAATATTTAAATGCACATTCTCTTGAAAAATATTTTTAAATACATATTTTTACCTTTTTGACCTAATACAGGTTTCTAAAGTATTGGAGGAATTTAATGTTGAAGAACAACCAAGTACCATGTTAGAAAATCGCTTTCCCAACATTAAGGTTATAGAATCTGAAGTAAAGCAACTGAAGAGTGAAGAACATGTAAGAGAATTGTTTCCTTAATGACATTTTCCTGTTAAATCTTGATGAGTTTCCCCTGACTTCCTTTGACCCCATCTTGTGTCACCACCAAAGTCTCTTGCAAGTAAATTTTAGTGATACTGATTTCCATTATTAGAATAATTTATACTTTTTTGTGAGTTACGGAGATTGTTTAATTAGTTTAGTTTTGGCGTTTTAGGTTTTATATTTCAAACTATCATTAACGTTTTGTATAGTGTCCACTGCTTTGAGGGCACTACATTCAGTGCTGGGGCACAAGAATGTTGTCATAAGCTATAATACAAGGAGTCTGCTCTTGGGAGTGCTCTGTGTCATAGGGGATATAGACATGCATAAGTACAATCCTATGGACATTTGAAAAGCACCACGATTGAAATATCAAAGCTCTGATAGTAAATATTTAGGAAGACTTCGCAGATTGAGTAATATTTGAGCTGTGTTTTAAAATATAGGTGGGCCCTGACTGGTGTGGCTCTCAGTTGGTTGAGCATTGTCCTGCAAAGCAAAAAGTCACCAGTTCAGTTACCAGTCAGAGCTCATGCCAGTCTTGTGGGCCCAGTCCTCTGTTGGGGCACGTGCGAGAGGCAGTCGATCGATGTTTCTCTCACACATTGATGCTTCTCTCCCTCTCTTTCTCCCTCCCTTCCCATCTCTAAAAATAAATAAATAAATAAATATCTTTCAAAAATAAAATGCAGATGAATTAAGAGTTCTCCAGGTGGAGAAGGGCATTCCAGGAAGAGTAGATTGCACGTTCAAAGACCCAAAGAAAGGACAATGGGCATGTGGAACAGTGAGGTTGTCAGTGGGATAAGTCAAGGGCTTTTTATGTCATGCTAAGAAGTTGATATCATTATAGCATCAGTGGAGAAATAGTAGAGAGATTTTAATGGAGGCAGGGATGATTAAATAAATGTTCTTTTAGGAAGGTACATCTGACAGCAGTGTCAAGGATGAACTGGGGTGGAATGAGTGGCTAGTGGCCAACAACCAAATTAGGAGTTGGTTTCAATAGTCCAAATGATTTAAGGCCCAAACTAAGACAGTCTCAGGAATGAGATAGTCTCAGGGAAGGATGTTATCAGATGAATAACAGTATCCTCAAATCACCTTTAGGCAAGATGTGAAGTAGAGTTGTAGTGGTTTCTCTAAAACAGCTCTAATTTATGAATTCTTCATTAGGAGTAAAGCACCTACACACCACATTTGAAACACAAATAATTTGCCAGGAAAAAAATTTAGAAAAAGTACTGAGTTTTATGAGAAAATCTGAATCAAAAAACCAGAATAAGTTCTTAATACTTACAGTACTCATTGTGTGTGTGTGTGTGTGTGTGTAATTCATGTCAATTAGTTTGCAAATTGAAGTAGGCTTAAAAGTATACTAATGAATTGTGAGGGAACTTAGACTTTTGAATGAATTGGAGTGCCCCACCCTTACCATGTTTGATTATTGGTTTTATATATTTGATATGCAGCTAAAGAGTCAACATGGGTGACAAATGTCTCATTAGGTAGTGAGTGGTATGTTATGATTTGCCAAGTTTTATAATTCCAAACACGTCGCACAGATGTTAATCCCAGAACCATTCCAACAAAATGCAGCATCTCTCATATATATCTGCTTTCTAAATGCTACTACTTACCTGTAGATTTTCATTCAATATTAAGGAACAGGAACAATGGCTCTCTGATATGGTTTTGACTCATTGATGTTATTAAAAATTAATATAAATATCTTTAAAGGCAGTACATGTTAGGATTTAAGTTTTACATATTTGTCACTTAGGTTAAAATATCCCCTAAGAGAGTGTAGTCTGCCGGTAAAGTGACTGCTTTTTATACTTAAGAATATCAATACTTTTTTAGCACTTTTAATTTTTTTTAGATTAAGAAGACATATCATAACCTCTTCTACCACACACTACTTACTCCTCTATACACATAACAGAGATTAAGGTACTACACAGTTAGAATCACTAGATCTTCTTACAGTAACTTCCAGAGATCAGAAATTCAAAATTTCTAAAATGTTTAATTTTTAATCTGAGCTCAACATTTCTTTCCAAACATCATGAGGTTCCCTGAGTTTTATGCAAAGTTTTGTGTGAATATGCCTTTTCTTCCATTGGAGAAAGATTTTCATCAGAGTCTCAAAATAATTCATGGCCCTACAATGATTAACAATTACCAGACTGAAGAATACATTCTAATGCTTACTTAGCTTTGCATTTGCTATAACAAAGTATTGAGTGCCACCAAGAGGGTGACCTTAATATATTTCTTGCTTTTGTGTTTTTGAATGTTTAATTTAAAATGAAATTATACCCATGTATAAATGCTTCCCTTCTCCCCTTCATTGCTTTATGTTTTTACAGTGCATTTTAACAGAAGATGGCAATCAACATGTATATAAGAAACTCTGTCTGTGTGCTGGAGCCAAGCCAAAGTTGATATGTGAAGGAAATCCTTATGTATTAGGAATTCGCGATACAGACAGTGCTCAGGTGATACTTTATGTTGGGTTATGGGGAATAAACACAAAGATTTTTTTCTTAGGTGTCTTTTTCTACATTTGAATGAAAGTGTTCTACTTATAATGTTAATTCCTAAACTGTGGAAGCATAAGGGAGATTTTTTTGTTTCATGACCCACAAACCAGAAAGTAGTTATAATGTTCTATTACTGCCAATTTCACTTTGTTTTTAGTTGATAATTTATCTTATTTTCTATTCAAGCTGTTATAACACAGGTTCCTTCTATTATACAATGTCCCAAATTTAGTGACTCTGCTGAAAGGTAGAGCTTGCACTGAGCACACACTCCTTACTCTACTGTGATTGGGAGTGTGTAATTTGTAACCTAAATAATGCAATGATCTTTTCCCAAAAGGTAAATTGTATCCAAAACTTACTGAATTTACTCTTGAGCAAAGAAATTAATATTCAGAAGATCTTTGTGGTATAAAATCATGACAATCCTAAAACAGGAAAAGTTACTTGGTTTGTTGTTCTGCCCAAGAACAGTGACAACTATCCCAATAAGGGAAACTCTATCTATGGAACCTTATACACTTCCTTTGATAATTTATTTCAGGGTTTGTTTACCCTTATTGCTGAAAAGCTCTTCCTGGTTTCAAATCACAATACTCTGTCTTAAGCTCCTTGTTGTTCTGTCCCATGAGGTGATAACACTTATGTAACAATGTTTTATATTCTTGAAAATTGATAGTTTACTATCAGCCTATTCTTAATTAAGTACTTTGGAATTTAGAGAAAACTAGAACTTGATTATTTTCTTGTAAACAGTTTGTATTATCAAAGATAGCATTATAACTATGTTCCAGCAGGGCCCTCTACATATATAAATTCATTGAATCTTCATGATAATCCTGTGTGAGAGTCATTGTTCTCACTCTATAAAACAGGAAATTGAAATGGATTAATTTACCTATAGTAAGGTGATTATTAAGTTTATCAGATGTACAGTTTAAACTCATGGCCTTTGTTTCCATGTCCAGTGCTCTGGTATCTATTGCCTTCAGTGAAGTACAAACTACAATTAACTTCAGGGTTTTTTTTTTTTCTTGTAGAACTTTTAAGAAGTCAATTTCAATGGTTGTTTATTGAAAATTACAATAAATTTTGAGTTCAATTTAATAGAAATGGCAACAACACAGTAGGAGGAGGAATTCAGCTATTCAGCTGTCATCCTGAGGCAATGGTACTATTCTGTACTTTTGAAAGTCTCCTGAGAGTGACCATTGGCTCTTCTTAAGCTCTTTGTGATCTTCTTAGGGAGGGTGATGGTACCAATTAGCTGTCTTATACTGGTAATAACATCTTTTCAAATAAATGTTAGACATTATTATGTGCGTCCTATTCCTAATGGCTCTATCTACATCATCTTACTGATGCTTACAGAAACCTTGAGATAATAGTCACTTCTTATTTCCATTTGTAGTTGAATCTGAGGCACAGGAGGTTAAGCAACTTACTCATGGTCCCCCAGCAAGTGATTGCTAGAACCAGGGACTCTAGAATTTGTGCTCTTAACCACTGTGCTGTCTGCCTCTCATTCCTGCATGTTTTAAGTGCTGAGTGACAGCAGGGAGTATCAACTGAGGGATGGGAAGAAAATGAAGAACCCTGTATCTAGGATACAGATCAAAGTTGTTAGTAAACTGATTTGGTCAATTATTTGGGAATATAGTAAACTAAAGACAGTGCCTATTGCTGACATTCTGAAGTAGTACTCTAAATGTAATGACATAAAACAAGGAAAATCTGGAGATGTGTTCCTATAGAGACAGTTTAGGGTGAAACATAGAGGAGAATGTTTGTAATATTGATTGGAGGGTACAACCTAGCAGAGTAGGGAAGTGAGGTTTATTATCGGTGAAGCCTCTTGCTTCTGGTATTGCCCACTATACAAAACACTATGTCATTTTGTTTTTAATACAGGAATTTCAGAAACAGCTTACTAAAGCTAAAAGAATAATGATCATAGGAAATGGTGGTATTGCACTTGAGTTAGCGTAAGTATATATTTTTAAGAACTGCTCTGTGCTTCATGTGATTATTGGCACACCAGAAAAGATCTTGTTATCCTGAAAATCAAAGATAAATATAATTGTTTTTCATATATTTTCAAGAATGAAAATCCACTTAATTTTTTTAGCTTTCATAGACTTCACAGTTGCAAACATGTTATTATAAAACATGAGTTTAGGGAGTGCTTTAGGTCTCAAAGGGTCATCAACTGATGAGTGGCTAGATTTGACCCATATGTTTTATAAGCATCTACTATACTAAAAAACAATTTTGAGTGTGTACACCTTCAGAGATTTCTAGTCATAATCCCCATCACTTTTTATTGTTTATATCCATCCTGTTTCACTCAGTTATGTTACATGTTTGGTCCGTGAAATCCAGTTTCTGACTCCTGTTTCAGGATTTGTGGTGCTCCCAGCTTCTGGTTTTGAGAAGTTTGGGAAATGTGAACACATTATTAAATCTAAAATATCATCATCTTAAGATATTTCAAGTTAACAAAGTCACTGAAGAATATCCTGCTGTAGTCTGTAGAGCACCGATTTACTTTGTGATTTTATCTTCCAGTAAATGGCTGACATGGAATAGCCTAGATATTTTTCAGGCCAGAAAGTTGGGTTCAATTACAGAGGACAGATTTATGTTAAAATAAGGAAGCTGCTAAAGCCCTGTCTTTGCTCGACTTCATCCATTCCAACTCTCAGACTAGGATTTTGCCCCTCTTTTTTAGAGGATGATGAATCCCATTGGAAGCCTGTTAAGAATTCTTCAGTGGGCTGAGTACTAGGAATAGCAGTCATTATTGTAATTATGAAGTTTATGGTGTTGCACACAGAAATGCAGAGAAAAAACTAGACTATCAAAATCATACTGGACCAAAAATGGAAGAGGCACAGATTTATTGTAAGAGGGGCTTCAAATCCTTATGTACATGTGATAGGTTTTCTCCATCAGCTATTGCCAAAAGTAGAACTTAATACAATTCTTATTATTTGCAATGAAATGTTTTCTTACATTAAAAAATGTTCAGTCTCACAACATTTAATCCTGTTCCTTCTGTAATATGCTTGAGTACCTAAAGTATCTGTTACCAAAGAAATCAATTGTTCTTAGCATGGTAGCTGTGTACCATCCATTCATCCATTATTGATTACACTATAACCAGATAAAACATTTCTCACCCCTGGGAACCCTGTGGGACATTAAATAATAACTATGTTGTAGAAACTGAACACTTTGAAATATTTACTGAAATGTAACTTTACCTGATGTTCAGTATACAATATTTGTCACTTATCTGTTCTTTCAATAAACTGGTTAAATTTCTTCTATTATTTATTCTACTTTAACTCGTATCCTGAAAGACTGTTTTATTCTTCCTTATAATCATTCTTTGAGTTTGCCTTAAAATATTTATGTAGGCTTTAGGAGAGAGTTGTTATTTGCAGATACAAAGGTTTCTATTCAGACTTTTGAAATTGCTCTCTGTAACTTTAATATTCCTTTTAGGTATGAAATTGAAGGTTGTGAAGTAATTTGGGCCATAAAAGATAAAGCTATTGGGAATACTTTCTTTGATGCAGGAGCAGCTGAATTCTTGACCTCAAAGCTCATCGCTGAAAAACCAGAAACGAAAATTGCACATAAAAGAACCAGGTATACAATTGAAGGTAAATATAGCACTTGGCTCTTTAGTTCACATGTAAAAAAATATTTTTAACCATATAGAAAAAGACTGTAAGAAAATTTAGCAAAATATATTTGGGAGCTAGGAATGTAGGTAATATTTATCTCTATATCTTTATGTGACTTTTTAGATTTTCTACAATATATTTATGAAAAAATATGTATAATTAAAACTGGAAATTTAGAGTGAATTAAATAAGTCCATCTGCATCTTTGTAGACAGATGCTGCAGTTAAACAATACCTAAGGTAATTTTATGAAAAACAATGAGTTTAAAAATAAATACAGTTTTCTAGTTTAAAGATGTTTTTAACTTACAGCTTATCAAATTTAAGAATTTTGTAAGTTTTGAGTGTCCAAAAAAATTAACAAAATTTTCAAAATTTGATGGCTAAGTCTTACCCTTCATATTAACTAGTGTATAAAACATCCCAAAAATGCTGTGTTTATACTCAATACTTGATTAAAAGATTATTTTATAGCTCTGTTTCACAAAATAAAATAATAAAATGATTAATACAGATGACTTTGTTTAGTCATTCTGTATGTATTTATGTATAAGAATCATTATATTGCCTAAAAGCTTCAGAGCTCAAGCATAATTCTCTGCCTGGCAACTTTTATAACATTTGAATTTTGAATTGAATTTATCTCTTCAGGAAGGAAAAAGGAAGCAGGAACCAAAGCTAATGCTGGTAATATAGGCAGTGCCTTGGGACCTGATTGGCATGAAGGCTTGAATCTTAAAGGAACAAAAGAGGTATGTTTTCATATACTGATTAAACATGTCTAAATGCAATTTTAAATGTGGAAACCATTTTTTGAAGACTGGTAACAAATACGTAGTCAAAGAATTGCTAGCTCACGTTATTTAAAATCCATAGTGCTAAGAAAGCACATGGCTCACATACCTACCAAAAAAAGATGAATATTAAGTTCATCTAAAACTGACTCAGCCTTCTTTTTAACTCCCCAGGGATAGAGATCTCCATGCACAGACACACTGACTACACCTGTCCTATTTTAAATTAGTCTTTTTCTCAAAGGTCACTTGAGATGCATTAGAGTATTTTAAAGGTTAATAGATAGCTTCTAAATAAAATACACATTTACTATCTTAATTAGATAAGCAGAGGACTGGCTTTTACCCATTTTATATGCTAGATATTTTATTTTTAAAATAGTTGTTAAAAGGCTGTGATATTTAAATATTTTAAGAAGCATACATGCAGTCTTTATTACTGTGTATGATGTCTTTTCAGCCTTGGGTAGATTGAAGGGTTGGCTTCATGGTATGTGTAATTTTTTGATAGAAATTATGGAAAGTCATTTCTTCCTGTACCTTCTGGTCCTGAGGTTAATATTTTAAGGTTCTGGGATATAACAATAAGTTGGCATAGACCTACCCTCTAGAGGCATTTATAGTCTATAATGGTTGTAATTTTTAAAAAATATGCATATAACTATCAACAAGACTTATACTGAAAAGTAGACCCTTGGTGTGTTACCTGCCAATTTAACTACTAGATCTCTTTAGTACCAAATGAATTTTTGTTCACTCCTTTCACACACAGAAATTGACAGGCTTATTTTTGGTCATCCAATGTGTTTTCATTTATATTGTAAAAATTACCTTTTCTGTATGTTTCTCTAAGTATTTTATACATTTTTTCTTCATCATCAGTAACCCAAGTCATTCTTTCTGGAAGTATTCTGGTGACCAGTGTTTCTTTGTTTTAGTTTTCTCATAAGATTCACATTGAAACTATGTGTGAAGTTAAGAAAATCTACCTTCAGAAAGAATTTGGATTTTCTAAGAAGTCCTTGAATTTCCCAAGAGACTATAATGATCAGTCAGTTACAACTGATGAAGGTAAGTAATAAAATAAAAAGATAGTTAACCACTTATTTAAAAGGAAAGCAACTTAATCTTTATTGTTATATTTAAAAATAGCTTCAGATTTCCATATTAAATTTAATAAAACAATAATTTAATGTCATTTCCTTTTTACAGCTTTTTAAGTTTTCTAATAAATTAAATTACAGAGGGCTTTACCCATCTTGTTTTGACTGTCATAACCCTGTGAGTCAATCAGAGTATCTTGCAAATGAAAGCAAAACAAAACAACAAAAACTGCCCTGACTGATGTGGCTCAGCTGGTTGGGCATTGTTCCACAAAGCTTTGAAAGGAGGGCAGGTCGATTCCCAGTCAGGGCACACGCGTGGGTTTCAGGTTCCGTTCAGGTTCCGTCCCCAGTCAGGGTGCAAAGAGAAGCAACTGATTGATGTTTTTCTCTCCCTCTCTTTCTTCCTCCCTTCCCTCCTCTCTAAAAATAAGTAAAATCTTTGAAAAACGATAACAACAAAAGCTAAAAAAAAAACCCTGACACTCTCAACAGTGAAGTGTCTTACCCAAAATCAAACACTGAAAATCTGTAAGTCTGGAACTAAGACACGGACCTACTAATTTCTGTTCCACACTTCTGTGAGAATACTGTCATTTGAAGAAATAGATTCAGCCAAACCCAGTGTACAAGATATTCTAGTTCTGAATTCTTTGAATTTTTCCATAGGGAAAAAGAGAGTAAAGTTTGAATACGAACACTAAGGGAAAACATTGAAAAGTGAGTAACCTAGTAGTTTAACTACACTCTCAGTGGAGTATACTCTTACTAAGATTTTTAAAGAAATAATGCCTGGAGAGCATTACGCTAAGTTAAATAGGCGAGGGGGTGAAAGATAAGTACCATATGTTCTCACTTGTAAGTGGAACCTAATCAATAAAACAAATGAGCAGAATATAACTAGAGACTTGGAAATAAAGAACAAAATGACAGTGACCAGAGGGGAGGGGGAAGGGGAATAATGGTGGAAACAAGGGGAAAGGGCAAGCAAAGGAACACAAATAGAGGACTCACGGGCACAGACAATGGAGAGGGACTGACTGTGGGAGCAGGGAGGATGGAGCAAGGGGGAGCAGTGGGGGAAAGGAGGGACAGCTGTAACTGAACAACAATAAAAAATAAAAATATTTATGAAATGATTATGTATTTACACTTCATTAGAATTGTTTTTAAATTTGAAGGAAAAATCTTTAGAATGCCATAGTTTTGTACCCAAAACAAGGAGGTGGTGTTAATTACATTGAAAATTGTTTTAGCAAATGTGCCTTAGACAAATTATTAAGAAATGTTGTTTTAGTCATTTCCTGCGTTTTTCTTTGTTCTAGTCATTATAGTTACATAGTGCTATAGACTGTTGGTGATGATTAGAGTTTAAAAATTTTTTTTTGTTTAAGAAATATGGCCTGTATATGTGGAACTGACCAACGAAAAGATATATGGCTGTGATTTCATTGTCAGTGCTACAGGAGTTACACCAAATGTAGAACCTTTTCTCTGTGGCAACAATGTAAGGTGAAATTTTTTTGTCCCACTGTGCATATTTTGAAAGTATTAATTACTTACTAAGATCTGTAATTCTTAAGCATAAATAATTGTTCATTGCGTTTAGTACATAACTGTAACAGTATGACTTAGAATAATTGTTTATATTCATGCCTTGATTTATATTTTTTTTTACTGCTTAAAAGTTCTTAAGCAGTTAACATCCCAGTGTGTCATCATTAATATGATATAATGCGTAACTTATTTATCTAAATATTGATAAGAAACTGACACCACCTATCAATTCTTAAAAGTGATATATTGGAAAAACTGTTGTAATTTTTGCTTTTAAGCATTTAAAGCTTTCAAAAACTGAGCAATATTCTTGTATTATAAGTGAGTTGCATGGTTATTATTTTTGATGTTGAAATTCTAAGAATTTTAAGAGTTTTTGTCTTATTAGGAATTTGATTCCCTGGAAAATTCAGCCTAGTTGCCTAAAGTTTCCAGCTATTTTTCTCTTTCTCATTAAAGATCAATAAACCATGGTATAAAGTTTTTCAATTGTTTATTTACTTTAGAATGAAAATGTCACATTTCATTTTCTTATCGTGTGTGCTTATGAGGAATATTGTTTAGTTTGATCTAGGAGAAGATGGTGGCCTGAAAGTGGATGAGCACATGCACACATCCCTTCCTGATATCTATGCTGCAGGTGACATCTGCTCTGCATCCTGGCAGCCCAGCCCGTTCTGGCAGCAGGTAAGCCTCCGAGATTACGGAATCTTTATCAGAGATTCCATTTGAAAACAAGGAGTTGGCTACCAGCAAATCCAACTTTCTGGTTTTCCAACTTTTTTACTTTAAATAGGAAGCTATCGTTGAGTTTTTTGTGACATTAAAAAAAAAATAGACTCTTTCCCTTTGGTTAAGTTACAATTACAGTGATAGAATAGACTAAGATATCTTTTCATTTAAAAAGAGTATGGGCTGTTACTTTTTCATTCTCAGATACTTATCAGCACTGTTCTATGCAACCTTCTGTGATGATGGAAATGTTCTATATTTCTGCACTGTCCAGTCAGGTAGCCACTAGCCACATGTGTCTGTTGAGCACTTGAAATGTGGTTACTGTCACTGAGGAACTGAGTTTTATTTACTTTTTAATTAATTCAAATAGTTACATATGACTGGTTGCTACCATATGGTATAGGACAGCTTTAGATTTAAGAAGCAATAGTTACAGAGATTATAAGCCAATAGATAAAGCATTCCATTCCTGATGACCCTGTTCTGTCCCTGTGGGAATTACTACTGAAAAAAAGATATTCTTATAGTGAACAGCCTATCTCAGCCTTCAGCCAACAACTGCTTCCAGCTAGATTTAGACTTCCTCCCATGATCAGTGCTGCCTGCCTTCTAATGGTGGAGCAAAAATACTAGAGGATACTAAGACTATAGCTATAGGTGAGGTTGTCTTAGGAGTAGAGACATAGGTAGATATTAGAGGTAAAAGAGACAGTTGACATCTGTCTTGGTGAAAGACCAGCTCTACTGGTAGCAGTATTATTCAATCAGATTAACTATGGAGTATGAAGTAGTAGAAAAGCTAGAAGTTTTTCAGGTAGCAGCTTCATTATTTTGTGGGTGTTTTTTAATATACAGCAGAAATAACATCAATAATAAAACAGTGCTTTCAGCCTGTTTCTAAAATGCTTCAAACAGCTTGTTTTCAGCTTTCTTTACAGTCATCCTTGTCATTTATGTGGCATATCTGTCACAAACTCTCAATTGGAAACTGGAGTTTGTGGGATTTAAAAAAAAACAAAAAACATTTTAAACCCTCTAGGATAAGTTATATCTTCAATATGCATCATACTCTGGTATAGGAAAAAATATCCAAAATTAAACAGGTGTCTTTGTTCTAAGTAAATTCAGTAGATGCCATCTCTGAATTTGCAAAAGCAGTAACTACTAATAATTTGTTTTACATAGTCCCCATATGCAAACCTAAGGGACTTGGAAGCTGAAATACATCAATTAGAAGCCAGTTCAGCAGTGAAATACTGCAAGCCATGTCCTTTGGCCATTCCCTAGTTTTTTCTGCTCCCTTACCACAGACTGCCTCTTACTTCATTAAACCAAACTTATTTATAGGGAGAAGACTGAATATAAAGTATATATATAACTTCTATCAGAAATGCTTGACGCTTAAACCCATGATTGTATGTTATTTTTACACACAAAATGATAACATTAATTACACAAACACATGGGGTGTAAGGAAACTTATTGCTTATTATAGGCTAACCTATTTAATTTTCCCAAAAGCCATGGAGGAGGTGGTGTATATTTATGTTTCAAGTAAAGAAACTGAGGCTCAGAAAAGTTAAATATGTAGAAGAATTGATATGCAAATCTACTGACTTCGAAGGCCAATGCTCTATTACCCCAGGGAATCCCAAAACTTCGTAGCAATACAATGATAACAATATAGAAGAAATTAATACTGTTTTAGAGAAGAATCTTACATGACTTTGAAGAATTAGTTACTGAAATCTAATATACCTTGGGGCTGGGTACCAAGTAATATATCTGTCTGACCATTGAGGTTAAATTGCACGGTAGGTCTTTAAAAATGTTAAAAAATGAGAACTAGGAAAAGGAAAAATTTTTTTCATTGATAATTTGGCATCTCTATTAGTATTGATGAGAAATTTACTCTGAAGTGGAGACTGGATAAGTAAAACGTTAATTCCCACCTGTTGTGGCCTGAAATATTTTAGTAATTTTTAAGGGAAATTTTATTGAAACATAAAAGTTGGTGTCTTTTAATTTTAGAGTCAGTAATTTAGATAGAACTATCAAATACAAAAATCAGTTTGGTTAGTGTTGATTGGTGATTGCTTCTGTGGCAAAAATGATCCAACCAAACATCTAACCAATCTCAAGGACTGTCAAACACTGAACCCCTTTAAGGAACGTTACAAGGTTAAGGTGATAACATTTTTCAAGTAATGTAATGAAAAATTATCCTGCATAACACTTTTTATTTCAGATGAGGCTGTGGACCCAGGCTAGACAGATGGGATGGTATGCAGCGAAGTGCATGGCTGCAGCTAGTTTAGGAGACTCTATTGACATGGATTTCAGCTTCGAGCTTTTTGCTCATGTAACAAAGTTTTTTAACTATAAGGTAAGATAAGCAAATTAGTGTCTTTTTCTGCTCAATAGTCTCATAACTAAATATGCTCATCTAATCTTCTTACTTGAATGAAAGTTCGTATGGTTTTAATAATTTTACAAAAAAATGAAATGATTTCTCATTTCATGCAAATTAATACTTGGTATTATTGCCTCTTAATTCCTCATTATCTGTTAACCATTACCTACCTTCCCACTATACTATTTCATACTTTAGGGGGACTGTTCCCTGTTGGTGTATTTCTAATTTTTATATGGGATTCATTATATCTTTGTGAGGGGAACTAATAGCTAGCTATCATACTCAAGAATGAACCAAGTGATTTCCCAAACGTATTATATTAATCCACTTTACATTAGTCTGAGGCAAGTTTTTTGTTCCTATTTTACTGATAAGGAGAAATACTCACATATAAACACATACACAAGATTCAGGGAGAAAAAATAATTTGCCCACAAAAGATCTAACTCCGTTCCATGTTAAATCTTTAAGTCATGACTCCAGGCTAATGTAGTCCATATCCTACATATTTGTCTATTCACTAGGTATTTTTAATGTTCATATAGATTGTATGATAGTATCATCTATAGGATAAATGTATACCATCGAAATATTTTCTTTGGAACCCACCCTAGTGACACGTTTAGCTATAAAATTTTGTGAATAGATTTCTCTGCTGACCATTCCAACATAATACAAAATAACTGCCTATTATATTTCCTTTTTGGCATTCATTAAAGTAACTTTTTTGTCTTTATATACACACACACACAGGTTGTATTGCTGGGAAAATACAATGCACAGAGCTTGGGTTCAGATCATGAATTAATGCTGAGATGTACCAAAGGACAAGAATATATCAAAGTCGTCATGCAGAATGGACGAATGATGGGAGCTGTCCTAATTGGTGAAACTGATTTAGAAGAAACATTTGAAAACTTAATATTAAACCAGATGAACCTTTCATCATATGGAGAAGATCTACTAGATCCCAATATTGATATAGAAGATTATTTTGACTAAAAAAGGGAATTTCAAAAACCAGATAAAGATTCAATAAGACAAAATGTCAAGTCAATAAAGTAAGTGACTGCACTGATTTAATGATGACCACACTGAAGTTGAAAATACAGAAGTGATAATGATTTTAGTGGAAAAAGTATTTAAAAATAAAATTCTAAAGATTAAATCAATTCAGATAACATTTATATTTTTGTCTAACACAAAACTGATGATTTATGTGAGAATTTTCAAGTTATTCATTTTTGTGTTTTAACCTGAGATGCACTGGGATTTATATTGGAACAAATTTAGTTGGGTTGTTAACATACCTGGGCAACAGCTTGGTCTGGTTAGTAAACAAAAGCCATTCTTTGATTGTGAAGTGTCAAAATAGGGCTATGGTTTCAAGCTTAGAATTTTATTTTACTTAAAATAGGGAAGTAGCCATCTTACTTGCTAATCTTTGTATTGATGCCTTATTCCTTTTTATGTTTAGATTCTACATCTCTTACAACCTGATGTCATTCACTTTTGGTGATGAGCATATGTAAAGTTTTCAGTATAATAACATAGTTGTCAAAAGACACTTATGTCAAAAGAAAAAAATAAAAGGCATAAAGAGCTTAAGATCATTACATGAACCTACTTTCCTATTTTACATTTAAAGGTTTTACATTAAAATTTTTATATTTTCCTTATTTCACACTGTATATGATTCATGCTGCTAAATTTTCAGGTCTCAATTTCTCATGTCTTAAATACTTTTAAACAGAAGTTTTTAAAGTATAGCTCCATGTGTATAAAATACTAAGGAAAGTGTCATAAACTTATGATTAACTACAAAAATAATGGTGCATACATGCATAAAACTGTTCTTTCCTTGGAAAATTTAGGAACACTCATCTCACGCATCATCCATTTTTCTTTTCTTAGCCCCTGTATTCTTGGACTCAGATTGCTGAAGCATGTTTGCAGACTTCTTCTGGAAGTGACCCAAATTTTTTTCTTCTCTCTTTTTATCAGATCCTTCAGAATGACAAGTTTGAGATGATTCAATCTACAAAACAATAACAAAGCAAACACTGATAAAATTCACCTACTCTTTTTTTTCATGAGATTATTAATCTCAATAGTCCTCCTTTATCAGCTCTTTAAGCGTCTCAGTGGTCTGTTTTTTTATCTTCAAATTTCTACTCAAATATGAGTCTCATCTTGAATGGAAGGGTCTATGCCATCAAAAACAGCCTAAAGAACACCTTAATTGTCCATGGCATGCTTTTGCAGGCTGTATAGTATATAGTTTATAACTGCTTTTCAACCTCTGCTCCAGAGGCAGACTTCTCAACCATCACTGATCACAATGAATGTCATGAGGGCAGGGTGCATCACGGAATTAGACATTAAAATGGAGTCTTCCCTTTCCAAAAGGTTAGAAACTCTCCTTGTCTCTATTAAAAGGCGAGTCTAAATTCTTCCACTTAATGTCTTCACTACCCAGATTCCAAGTAGAACACTGACTTACGTCCTGTGTTCAACTGGACCTAGGAAAATACAAGGTAAAGGAGCGCATTCACAGGCTTTAATGTATTTTTAAAACACTTAAAAATTAGGTCAGTTACCTTGAAGCAGGTCAGTGTGGACTTCTTTACTTGCATAGTAATAACGTGTGCCTCATTGTTCAGAAGATTAGCTTTAGGTCCTATTTTCAAATATGAAATGGTAGCATAAGCTGTAAAACTGTAGTCTTCTCTGTGGAAGATAAAGGCCACCAATCAGAAAGGTTTTGAGGAGTTACAGAAAACAAACTAAAACTTATAAAAATAACCATAAATCTAATAATTTTAAGTAATACATTGATATGAGATAATGTAAGTTACACTAAAAAATGCAGTTTGTCTTTACAGAAAGTATGTTTTGTGTTTTTGATATACAGCAGTCAATTATAATTGGAATTTCTTAGGTAAATTTTGTATAGTGTTTTAAAGTTCACATGAAACAACCATAAAACCATCTGTTGCAGTTACAAAAATGCAAAACTATCATAAAGACACATTATGTTTTGGGATGAAAATAGCAATTTTTGATTCTTGCAACTGAATAAACCATGATTCTTATGGCACTGGTTTTTGATATTTTACCATTTTATTTCTCTTAAGTGTTACCATATCCCCTATTTATGGATATACTGAGATATAATACCTGTAAAGTCTTAGTTTCCTTATTTCTAAAATTAAGATAATGTCTATTCTCATTTCACAATGTTGCTAAGATTAAATGAGGTAATATATGTAAAAACTATAATGTCAAGTACTCTATAATTTTTATCATTGTTGGTATATATCCAAATTAGAGCTTTTATTCAAAGTAACCTTTTTGAAATTATAGATACTTATTCCATGAAAAATATATAGTGAACAAAAACATAAAGACAACATGAAAGGACAAGACATGGGTTTGTATATACTTAAGATACTGCTGTAGAAGAAAGTGCGCAATAATTTTCTCCAGGTCTTCCCGAGGAAGTGCGGGAGGAGCAACAGCTGCTACCCTCAATTTTGCTGCTCCCTTTCCCATCCAAGAATCAATCAGTTTCAGTGGAGTGAGCTTTTCATTCATTTCCTCTGCCTGCTGCAGGATTTTGATTAGATCTCTGCAATAGGCTGTTACATTCTTTCTTTCAAATGCTATTAAAAAAAGAGGCATGAGGACAGGCAATTGAGATTTAGAAATTAGGGCAAAGATAGCCTATCCTAAGTGGTTAAACCTGTTTAAAAACAAGTCATCAATGTGAGCCACCCTAAACATTGATTTATTAATGTGATCTGAATAAAAACTAGGCTATTCCCCAAGTCTTGAGCACTAAACTAAGCTGTAGGCTCTTTCAGACACTGGGATTTACAGTGATATAAAGAAATTAACCTGGTTATCAGAAGGCCTTTGGATATGCTCTAGGAACCAGAGAGTGTCTGCCAGACTGATGACAGCAGATTGATTAAAGATGAGTCAATAGGCGAGTCAATTTATTCTGCATATTTACCTCATATGTGCTCATTAAGCAATATTCTGAAAACTAGTATGGTTTCACAGCTAACTGATTTAGACACAGGAATGTCCTGGACAGATAGCCCCAATTATTAATTGCCACCTGCACTCTTATATGTATATCTATTTTATATCAGGCATGTTAATTTGTTCAGCAAAACACAGTCTAATAGACTCATAAACAAGTAATTTTCTCTAGCTGCGTAGTTAAAATTGTAGTGACTTTCAGCCACCGAGGCATCAGAACTCAGAGAGGAACTGGTTAGCCAGCTCTTCAAATACAACACACATACACAGGATGAAATCATGTTAAAATACAGTTCTGAAATACTGGTAAATTAGTGTCTTATGAGTAGTTAGACCTTATGTACATCAAAAATGATTTGCTATAATCTATTTTACAGAAAATTTGCTTTCCTAATCGGTTACTACAAACTATTAAGAGATGATCACAAGCTAAGTGTTTACTTATGTAAATAGCATTTGTATTCAGACGATTTAAACATTTTTGTTTCTTAAAAATTTTACATGCCCTTGGTAAGAGCAACATAAAATATGCACACACATGGCTTTTCCTTTTATTTGCCTTTGTTTCAAAACCATGCTGTTACTTTTGAATCTGGAAAATTCTATTCACACCTTGTTTAATCTTTTAAATCTATTTTGGAGTCAAATCCTGCCCTCATGTAGTCCTACCCATATATTAGCCTATAAAGGTTTAAAAAACAATGAACTCACAAATATCTTTACAGCAATTGTCACACATTTTGTTACATGCTTCTGAGTTCCATACTTCATCAAAATGTTGAGCTATCAATACACGGCGACACCTGCCAACACAGATACTTATTAAGTGATAAAATCAAATTTTAAGAATCCCTATTTCGAAATACAAGATTATGTCCTGTGTTAGTTTCCTATCACTACCATATCTTTACCACAAACTTAGTGTCTTACAACAACACTAATTTTTTATGTTACATTTCTATAGACTAGAAGTCTGATGTGGGTCTCACTGGGTTAAAATCAAGGTGTCAGCAGGACTGTATTTCTTCTGGAGGCTCTAGAGGATAAAGCTGCTTTCTTGCCTTTTCTAGTTTCTAGAGACTGCTTGCATTCCTCGGTTCATGGTCTCCTTTCCTTCATCTTTAAAGCCAAGTATGGTCGGTTGAGTCTTCACATCACATCACCTGACCGCTTCTCTCTCTGCCTCCTTTCACATTGAAGGACCCTTGTGATTATACTGGACCCACCAAAATAATCCAAGCTATTTTAAGATCAGCTGATTAGCAACCTTAATTTCATTTGTAACCTTAATTCCCTTTTGCTGTGTAAGGTAACATCACAGGTTCCAGGGATTTGGATGTGGACATCTTTTTGGGGGGATGAGGGGGACCTCTGTCTGCTCACCACATAATTTTCTCCATATGTAGTTGATAAACACAGCCTTTAAGAACTTGTCTAAGATTCATTTTGAGATTCAGTATTTTACTATTTAAAAAAAATCTTCCTGGTAGCAGTTTTTTGTATTTTACAGTATCCATTTGAGTCTAAACCCCAAAACGTGCTTCATGGGGGTACACTGGACATCTAAGAACATTTTCATTTTCTCATTTCTTTAACTAGATTATTGTAGCATCTATAGGAAAGAAATACCATATTCTGTCACTGTCTGGTTACCACTTATTTCAAAAATGTTGAGTCCTTTTTACATGATGGGCAATTAAGTGTACAAAGATGACTAAGGCAGAAAAGCCATCAAGGAGCTATGGTATATGGTCTAACTAAATCCACCCTAAATAGATTTAAAAGAAACTTGACCCTGCTCATCAACCCATTAGCTGGTGGGATGGTTGGTACGTGTTACTGTGCTCAGCTCCCAAAATGCCCCTTATGCATCTGTACAAAATTATTAAAGCATGAAGCTACATACCAGTGCCAGAGGGAAAAGGCTTGAACTCACTATTTGTATCAAAATTTTCAGTAAAACTGAGTTTTGGGGAATTATCTCAGAGAGACAGAGTATCTTTTCTTCCATTAAGGCAGATGCTGCAGGTTCATGTGCTGGTTCTTGCCCTTCAGACACCTCCTTTTACATGTTTACACTTGATGTTCTAC